TGCCTTCCCAACTGAGAATAATCCATTGCAAGGCCCATCTGAGTCCTCCCTTACTACTATGGGGAATTCCAAGGCCAATCAAGCAGCTCGATCAGCCGCCCTACAGAGCTTTACCTCCTCTCTGCTACTCTTTGTTACCACTGGGGATCAGCCCAAAGATCCCCAACAACTCTTCCAGTTTATTCACTCTCTATTCCATTCTAGTCCGCAGAGTCTTACTACTTTCCTTCACTTCTTTTTTACCCTTTCCCCACATGATAAGACCCTCCTACAACAGATCACTTCTACTTGTCAGATCTGGCAGAGAACCAATACCAATACTCCATTAAAACATAAACCTTTCCCTTCTCACCAGGCCCGCAATTATACCCTGGCTGCAGACTAGCAGATTGATTTCACCAACATGCTCCAAGTAAAAAACAAGCCTTTCCCATTTCTAACAAGCAGGCCTCTACAGTAGTTGACTCCATAATCCCTGGTTTCGAGATGCCCACTTCTATACAATCAGACAATGGCCCAGAATTCATCTCACAGATAACTCAGGGACTGGCTCATGCACTATCACTCCCTTGGCATTTCCATTGCCCTTACCACCCCCAGGCTTCTGGAAAGGTTGAAAGAACCAATTAGTCCCTTAAAAGAGAACCTCACCAAGCTCACCATGGAATTAAGCCTGGACTGGGTAAAGGTGCTCCCCTTGGCTTTATTGCACATTAGGGCCTTGCCAAAGTAGCCTTATAATCTCTCACCTTTTGTACATGCATGCACACATGCATGCACACACACACACACACACACACACACACACACACACACACACCAACAATAGAATTACACAACAATCCAGAAGTTGTGTAATTCTATCCAAGAACAAGAACATGGGTTCATTCCTCAGTAAAGAGAAAAAAACAAGTAGAGGAAGAATAAGATTCACATGTCACACCCACCTCCTTTGGAGGGCCAAGACAATGCCTGACACTCAGGAGGCGGCCCAAAGTTCCTCAGAAGATCACCCCACAGAAATACGCTGGACAATGATGGCATCATAAAACTCCCCCTGACCACTCGGTCTGGATAAGAAAAACATAAAACAACCACACACTTATGTTCATTGTGGATGTCAAGGCCAACAACTGACATGCATAGGGGCACACAGCAGTAATCAATCACAGCAACTCAAAAGGCTCAGGCAGCATGACAGCAAATTTGAGGTCATCAGGAACAACTTAAACCCTGCATCATTAAAAACAGCTGAGACGTAGCTGAGCATTAGAGCATTTGTCCAGCATGTGCATGGCCCTGAGCTCAATCCCAAGTACTGCAAAAACAAGAACCATCAACCAACCAACAGCAACACAACCAACCAACAGCAACAACAACAAATAGGGTGGGGGCAGAAGCACCAGATTACATAGGTCTTAAGAAGCTCTATGACAGTGACATGGACAAGGTCAATACTCTGATCAAAAGTGAGGGGAGAACAAAGCATATATGTACAACTGGCTCATGAATATGATGTCTTAAATATTGCCAATAGAGTAAGATCATGTAAACTGAAGCAAGCTGTCTAATTATA